GCAAATTATGTCAACATAAGAGAATTTAAAAGTAAGTACTTCAAACTACTTTTATTGCAAACACAAAGCTCATACGCATATTAATTCAAGTATGTCTGATGCATCTGCCCTGCTGTGGGGTTGTTGCGGGAAAGGTGGGCTTGATGATAGATATATAGAATGTAAAAAATGCCGCAAATCATATCACTACACTTGTATGGCTTTGACTGAGAAAAGCGTGTTGTCCGCGTCGTGGTTGTGTCCGGAATGCACGAATCAAGGTCCAAAAAGTGCAAAGAATGATAATACGCCGCTTCGCACCGTTTCTACAACCCGCGGTAGTAAAAGAGTGGCCCTGACCTCGCCCAAGCTTGCTTCTGAGACGGTTCTATCCTCGGATGATGTACGCCATATTGTGGAAGAAGTCATTAGAAAAGAGCTAAAAAATATGGTTACGCAACTCAAGCTTAGTATGAATGACAAGATAGACTCGCTCACGAATGAAATTGCCGAAATGAATAGATCGATGCAATTTATGAATAGCCAATATGAGGATATAGTCAAAGAACATACAGCATCGAAGGAAGCGATTAAAGAAATGGCTAGCGAAAATATCACAATGAAAAAGAACATTAGCAACTTAACTATGCGAATTTGCCAATTGGAGCAGCAATCGCGATCAAATAATGTAGAAATTCAATGTGTGCCTGAGAACAACAGAGAAAACTTGATACATGTTGTAACTAATATATCTAAAGTTGTCGGCTGCAATGTTGAAGACAAAGATATTATTAATTGTACTAGAGTGGCTAAACTTGACAACAAAAATTCTCGGCCACGTTCAATCGTTGTACAATTGGCTTCTACGAGACTCCGCGATCAACTTCTCGCGTCCACATTGTCCTACAATAGACAGAATCCACACAATAAACTAAATAACTCTCACCTTGGACACGCTGGTCCTAAAACACCTATATTTATCGCAGAACACCTATCTCCGAGTAACAAGTCTTTGCACGCCGCCGCTAGGCTGAAAGCCAGGGAAAAGGGGTACAGGTATGTCTGGGTGCGCAACGGTCGTATTTATGTTAGACAGAATGAAAATGCCGACAAAATTCTTATTAAAAATATGAGCACTGTACAGAGTATGGTTTAGTTGCATTCCTGTAAATAAATTCAATGTATTCTTAGCTTAAGTTCTTTAAAATTCAAGGAGTTAAATGTATATTACCAAAATAGTCGTGGCCTACGTACAAAAACTCATAACTTCTTTCAGCAGATGTCTTGCGAAACATACGATGTTGTAATTTTAACCGAAACGTGGTTAAATGGTTCTGTAATGAGCACAGAGTTATTCGACAATAGATATATCGTATATAGGAGGGACAGGTTAGGAAGTAAGAGGGATGGCGGAGGGGTTTTGATTGCCATTTCAAAGAAATATAAATCAAAGCGTATGCGTACGTGGGAGAGTCGTTGTGAGGACCTCTGGGTTGTTTTTGATGCTCCAATTGACAGAGCTATTAGCCGGGTAGCTCTGTGCGCAGTATATTTGCCACCCCCCGTGCAACGTGGAACGCTGGAGTACTTTACTGACAATTGTAATTCTGTTTATGAACAGTGTGGATTATGTACGAGTATATGTATAGCAGGTGACTTTAACCTGGGTACTATCGACTGGAGTGTGGCTCGTGACTCTGCGACTGCCTATGTCACGTCAAGCCTTAACCAAATTTTATTAGATTACGTGCACATAAACAAACTCACCCAAACTAATAATATCCCTAATAAAAGTGGTAGAATACTAGATCTTATACTAACCAACTTACCTTCTTGCATCGTTACTGAGACAACGAACCCGTTAAGCAGAATTGATCTGTTGCACCCACCCTTGTTGCTTACCATAAGTACGAGTGCATATGCAGGATTGCCGTATAATAGCACAAACAGGAGGTTAAATTATTACAAAGCAGATTATGCAAGCATTAAAAAACGCTTGGACCAGTTGAACTGGACTGCATTGTTAAATGTTGCCCAAGGTGTCGATGAAATGGTTAATATTTTTTATGGCAAAATTGAAGAGATAATTGGTATTTGTGTTCCACTGTGTAAGGCTAAATCAAAAAAATTGCCTGTATGGTTTGACAAACCATTGGTAAAGGCATTAAAAGAGAAAAATAAGGTTAGAAGACGATATAAAATGTATAAAAACTCCATGGATAAACTTGAACTGGTCTTACTTAGTAAACGTTGTTCGGCACTAAATGTAAGGTGCTATAATGCTTATCATCGCCAGATCGAACGTGAACTCTGTAAAGATCCTAACCGATTATGGACGTACATAAAACAGAAAAGAGGTGGAACTAGTTCACTGCCGGTAATTATGACAGACGGTACTTCAACAACATCGGACGGTCAAGAAGTAAGTGAAATGTTCGCTACACATTTCTCCTCAGTATTTGGTGACACTGATTCTTCTACGCATAACTTCTTAGCATCAGATTATTTAGCACTAATAAATAGCCACTGTATTCCTCTAACTATACCAGTTATAAGCCCTGAATGTCTCATTACAAAATTGAAATCGCTAGACCACCGCAAAGGCGCTGGTCCGGATGGTATTCCTCCAATTTTTATATCAATGTGTGCGTCTCAATTTGCGTTGCCATTATCATTAATTTATAATAAGTCTTTATTAACTGGTATATTTCCCGACATGTGGAAGCAAGCGAAAGTCGTGCCAGTACATAAATGTGACGATAGTGACAACGTTATTAATTATAGACCTATCTCAATTCTGTGTACTTTTGCAAAAATATTTGAATCCTTTTTGTGTCCCCTTATTCAAAGTCACCTTAAACCGTACATAAGCAGCTCGCAGCATGGTTTTACTAGCTGTAGGTCAACATGTACAAACCTCGTGGCCTTTAGTGACACTCTAATGGAGTCTATTGACGCAAATCGGCAAATAGACGTAATATACAGTGACTTTAGTAAAGCGTTTGATAAAATTCCGCATAAAATGCTTTTTTATAAGTTGGCGATGTATGGCGTCACCGGTACTTTGCTGAATTGGTTCGAGTCATATCTTGACAATCGTTATTACTTTGTGGCTGTCAATGGATTTAATTCGGACAAGCGTAGAATTATTTCTGGCGTACCGCAGGGCTCGCACCTTGGGCCAATTCTGTTTAATTTATACGTTAATGATGTCACTCATTGTTTCCGCTCATCTAATTGTTACATGTTTGCCGACGATCTTAAATTCTGTAAAACAATACTGTCTTTAAACGACGTGAAATTATTGCAAGAGGACATTAACAGACTTGCTGATTGGTGCAAAAACAACTTTATGAGCTTAAATACCAAGAAATGTTACCATATAAAGTTCACCAGAAAGCCATGCCCTCTGCCATCCATATATTATATCGGGACCGATGCAATTCAAGAAGTGACCGAAATAAAAGACTTGGGAGTGCTATTTGATAGCAAGCTTACATTCGTACCTCACATGGAAAATACCATTACACGAGCATCCAAAATGCTGGGATTTTTGCTTAGAAACGTCAGAGTTTTTCAATCGCACAATACAAAAATCATACTCTACAATTACCTCGTTCGTACTATACTGGAGTACTGTAGTACAGTCTGGCGACCACATTACTCTTGCCATAGCCTAAGGTTGGAGCGAGTGCAGAAAAGGTTTCTATGGCATTTGGCCGTTACCGCAGGAATAGCTCACAAAATAAAGTCGTACGATAGCAGATTGGCACACTTTAAAATGATTTCGTTACAGAAGCGTGGTATTATAATAGACGCTATGTTTATGTTTAAGTTATTACGAAATAAAATCGATTGCCCCGAGCTTTTAGGCAAAATAAAATTTCGTACTCCCATTAGAAATCCCCGTGCACCTGTGACCCCGTTGTGTCCGCCACTTCGTAGAACCGTACTTGGTGCTAACTCAACTATACCTCGTCTTTGTAGAACCATAAATAGTTACTCTGCGGTCATAGATGTACACGCGGACTCGCTTGCCACATGCCGCAAAAGTATCACGAGTGCATTGTAATGTGTATGCTGTACGATTTGTAATCATTTATCAACCAATTAATGGTTGTAGCAAACTTTTTGATAGTAACCCTAATGTGAAAATTATTATTTTTGTTTTAATGTGGCCTATGGCTACTGCATTAATCACTGTTTTGTTTGTTGTTGTGACTGTATAATTTCAATTTATCAGCTGTGAAAAATTTGTGCATGCTGTGCTTGCCTGTAATAGGCTACTATACTATTATGTAGCTTTGTAATGTAAAATAAAATTGTATTAGTATAAGTAGTTGTTGGTAAGTCTAATAAATAAATAAATAAAAATAATATATATTCTACCACATACACACAACGCCATCTAGTCCCAAACTAAGCAGAGCTTGTACTATGGGTACTAGACAACTGATATAAATACATATATACTTTTTTTTTGTAAATACATACATATTATACATAGAAACACCCAGACCAAATCAAACATCAAATGTTCATGCACACAAAATGTTTGACCTGAGCGGGAATCGAACCCGCGACCTTTGGAATAGCAGCCCGTTACACAAACCACTATACCATCCAGTCGTCAAATTTTAAAAGATTTGGAAATTAATTTACAAAATAATCAGTATACTACAATAATATATGACTCAGTGTATAGCCAATAGAAAAAACGAATAGTTGTATCAGCCAATTCGACGAAAAGGTATTTTTTCTATTTTTTCATATAAGGACCACCCTAGATTGCTTATTTGTATTTATGTACAATTGGATCTTTCACTATTATTGGTATTTCTTCTTAAGGCTGGGTATTGGTAGCATTAGTAGTTTCACAGTAGTTCATCATCGATGTAAGAAAAGGGCTGAAATGGTCTATTTGCAAAATAAAGTAATTTTTCATGATTCATTATATTTTGTCATCAATCATTAACAAAACGGCCAGAATAAGGTTTTCGATGTGAACTCTACTTTTAGTCCTATTCTCTAAGTTCGAGACGAACCCAGGCGCCATTTTGAATATTCATAAGGAAACCTCTTGCTAATTTAAAGGGAATTGTAGTTTTTTCGCAGGGGCTCACTTTAATTTTACGAAGAAGTTGATAAAGCATCACCTTGACTTCACAGAGAGCAAAACGAGAACCTGGAAACGAAAATATTGATAAGTATTTTTACAAAATAAATGGGTTCATAAGATTGCGTGTATGTTTGTTTGTACATATGTGTGCATGCTTATACATGATTCATAATTTCGTAATTATACCAAGTTAGAAAATAATAATAAAAGTATTTTTAGGCACTAACCGATACAATTCCTTGGTCCTAGTCCAAAAGGCATGTAAGAAAAAGGTTTTATGTTGTGCTTGTTCTCATCGGAAAAGCGCTCAGGGTCAAACTTCTCAGGGTTGGGGAAGAGTTGTGGGTTCCGGTGGAACATGTAAACCGGAAACCCAATAGCAGCACCCTTGCGGACCTAGAAAATAAGGATAAAGAGTTAGCACCTATTTTTCTGTTATTGTCCACCAACGTCTTTTTTATTAACAAGCCATTTACGAGTTTTATACTTCTTATATTCATAAAATAATGATTCAGCTCGATCGGGTTTGGCTCCCGGGTTGGACCAAATGTTTGTTTGATCTGCAAATATTTGTTTAGGACTTTTTTAAAGTATAATATGTATGTATTTAAAAAAAGTATATAAGTAGTCTATCAGTCAATCTAGCTGTTATAGTACAAGCTCTGCTTAGTTTGAAACTAGATGGAGTCGTCGTGTCAGATGTCTGAAATATGTATTAATGATTATAAACTAGGATATGAGTTGTTAAATATAAATAGGGCAGTGCATGAATTGAACACAACATCAGTTTCTTTTGTATAATATAGCAAATCATCTGATGTAAAGTCTCTACTTCCCCTCATGGACACATCGTGCAATGTAAGAGTTACAAATGCATTGCCTATGGAAAAGTTATGTTCTTTGATAAAAACAAGAAATCTTTCATTATGTGCAATGCTTACTATTAAGTCTTTAGTTGCGGCTTTGTTCACTCTGCCAAAATTGTAGTCTTTCACGCATTGCCTGTCTAGTAACGGGGTGGGAGGATGCAAGCGCATAGTCTCTACAACAAGAAGTTATAATTACAGTTCATATCATACTTACTTGACGAAGATAAACATATCCTAAACTAGTTTAAATCAATTAAATCTAAGTCCATCAACTCCCTGGAGAGTAACCTAGGTCAGCGTTTACCCTATGATGTTGCCGTTACATGCTACTCGAACGCCACGGTCGTCACGTTGTGCAGTAAGACGCACTATGAGGCAATCCTGAGGGCCACGGTCGAGGTTGCCCAAATCGTGGGGTGGATCCGGTGGCCGTCCAAATCCGAGGCCTTCTTCTTTCATGGGGCTTGTACGGGCCTACCTCAGGGATCCAATCTATGAGGCCTGATCTCTAAGACACTCGCATCACCATCGAGCCTTGAAGAGGTATCTGAGCCTCGTACTTGATGGCCAATTGGACTTCGGTACATAGTACGGAGCGAGAGCCTGTGACACACCGCCAACTGGGTTAGCGTTTTCCCTGGAGCTAATAGATCTTTAAGGCATTAAAATAATAGTTGAAGTTTACTTTATAGAAAAGAGGTTTAGCTGCAATACATATGTAAGTAACAGTAGTTAATTTGGATTGCAATTACGAACGCGGCCTAAGATGCAGTTCAACACAATTCCTGCTGAGAATTCTGTAACATAGTAACATGGTCTGATATAGTCGACTGTGAAAAAATAATGGTTGTACTCAACAGGTTGAACAACTGTGTAGAATTGACACTCACCTGACACAACCATATCCATGTACTTCATACTCTGTATAGATTTGAAATCCAACTGGCCACCATTCATCTGATCAAATTCTTTTATTTCTTGTACCAACTTCTCTTGTACATCAGGATTTACAGCCAGTTCATATATCATGAATGTCATTACCGTGGAAACTGTGTCGAAGCCAGCCAAGAGAAATAAAACTGCTTGAGCTACTAAATCGTTGTCTGTCCATTCTGTAAAGTAGTAGATAAGAAGATTAACCCTTGATATTTCTGTGTAAAACCTTGGTACCTCTTCAAATGTATTACTGCACTATTGTATTAAGACGCTAGGACTTTAACCTAAGCAGCATACGATGTCGAACACTAGTTATTATTTCTGGTCTAAAACTGATGTACAATATTCTTACTGCACTCCCTCTTATCATCTTCATTTTTTTTTTTTAAATATACCTAATTGAAGTTATCATAATATGTTATGTCCGTGTAGTGACGGATTAAGAATACGGAATGTCACTACCACAATTCATCCCGTGGATGTCGTAAGAACCGACTAAGGGCGCAAAACAACGCAGGGAACCAGCACTGCAATAAGAAGGAAAACTTGACACAAACTCTATACCAACCCGTCTTCAAAGCGTGGTATAGTAGGCCAAAACCTCCTTTCTAAGGAGAGGCCTATGTCTAGCAGTGAACTATTAAAGGCTGTTGATGTGATCTTCATACTTTTTTAAAATATACCTAATTGCAGTTATCATATGCATATGCTTCAAAAACTTCTTCCGCATCGTTGTCTATTGGTACCGTTCCAAAAAGTCTGGCAGCATTACAAGGTTAAATGACAATGCTAAGTGTTAACGCTTCAAATAGTTTTAAAGTTGCCACGCATAACCGCCATTTCTCACTCACGTGATTGGCCCGAACGGCATTCGATGTGATTGGCCAAAGAGACAATTCTAGAAGCTTCCCTTTATTCGAATTAAGTACTTATAAGACCGGCCACCTAAAACTTTGTTATAATTACTGAAAAGTAAAAATAAATGTGTAACAACCAAAGCAGACTTTTCAATCGTACAAGAAGACATCGTCGGCAACACTAAACCATAAAGATTTAATTTTTAAATTGATTTACCTCTATCGCGGAACTTTTTGCCAAAATTCGACTCTTCCACCGTAGCAAAACCGGCACTACTGTCAACATCTGAATCTTTCTCGTGTCTTAGTTGTCCTAAAATAAATCACAGATTATAATTTGTTTCTCTTTTGACGTGGCAACGTCTTATAATTCGATGGAGCCGGCTGCACGCACGAAAAAACATGACTCATGCGGCGTTACCTCGCTCTGAGGCGTTCCATTTAAGGCTTGAAGTGCAAGCGAGAGCGCGCAACGAGCGACAAAGAGGCACAATCGGCCTCCGCCTTCGGCAGCGTTTGACATCTCTCTCTCTCCTACTTGAGTGAGCGATGCGTCCGCGTGTAACATGTAAATGTATTATTGTATAGCAGCTGGCTATACAATAATACATTTACATGTTTTCGTAAAATGCAACCATTCCATCAGTATTTTCTTATGACGTTGTCACGTTCAACTATCGTCAGTAAACCGACTTTACAGACAACCGATTTTTTAATAATATCTTGAGTTTAGAAATATCATTTGGAAGTTTATATCCCACTATTTATAGGTCGTTTTTATAGCCACAATAGAAAAATAAACCAGAAATTGAGAGTGAAATATGATAATTAGAAATATAGTAAGGGGGTGAGCACAAACGCAATATTTTGTAAAGGACTATGATATAAATGTCAAAATTTCATGGGTTTCCTTTGATTCAAAATTCTGAAAATAGTTATGTATTACTCGATTTAACGCCCACATGATAGATATAAAGTCCATACCTTTAAATTGCCTGACGTTTGAACAGGTTGCACAGTGCAACCTTAATTCCCGTATTTCTGTATTTTTTTTATATCATGAAACGCGATTTAAAAGTTCATAATTGCGATTAATTTAAAAGTTCTGAAGTTTTTAGCTAATTGTAATATGATTAAAAAGGTGTTGTTATCTACCTTTCTTTATCTCATTAAGAATGTTGATCATGTCGTGTCTGATGATATTTCTTTTCTCACGTTCCTCAATAGTAGACAGTACCACGTCTGAGAAGAAACCGGAGGTCTCAGATGAAACGAGCGACAGTTTCAGCATCTGTACATATATCAATATTATTTAGAATGATAATGATTTGATGAAGTGATTTTTGATTTGGTACAGCTGAAAAATACATAATTAACATGATAATATTAAAATATTATACCTAATTATTTTGCTATCACTCATTCCCATTACTCATTTTGTTCTCATTATATGTTGTTATGCAACTTGTTAGCCTGGTTAACCTGCAATTGGCAAGGCTTTACCTCAATTGTACACTTAATATTTTGTGTTTTGTATACTCGAGCTTTGGGAAAGTAATAGTTAATTTTATTTACATAAAATTAAAAATTAACATTTAAAAAAAAACAATGTTTATAAATCATGTACACCTAGTACCTGATTCATAAACATTCAATTTTCGTTCACGAATTAATTCATAAAGATTAAAATTTCAAGGAACACTGATTAGGTATAGCTTGTTCTTCTTCCTCTTCTTAGCCGCCACCTTACCACTGATGATCATAATTCTTTGACTGAGTTTGTTAACCAGCTATCTTCATTAGAAGCATGCAGTAGCTTGGCTTGGTAACACAAACAAACATCCCCATTCATTTTCCTCTAAAGCGGTGGTAGTTAAAATTCATCAATCATCAACAGCCTATAACAGTGCACTGCTGGACATAGGCATCTCCTTATAAGGGAGGTTTTGGCCTACCATACCACGCTGGCCAAACGGGTTGGTATAGGGTTTGTTTCAAGTTTTCCTTCTCTTAGCAGTGCTGTTGTCCTGCGTAGTTTGCTTACTTAGTCGGCTCTTACGACACCCACGGGATGAATGGGGGTGGTGACATTCCGTATTCTTAATCCGTCACCACACGGACGAAAATTAGTAACATCAAATTTCTGAACGATAAAATTGAATTATTAATAATTATTATTTAAGCAACAAGTCAAATTCATTTTTGTCTTAGATTTCATTTTCATCATCAACAGCCTTTAATAGTCAACTGCTGGACATAAGTCTCTCCTAAGAAAGGAGGTTATGGCCTACTATACCAGACCAGACGGGTTGGTAGTATAGAGTTTGTTTTAACTTTTCCTTCTCTTTACAGTGCGTAGTTTGCTCCCTTAGTCGGCTCTTACGATACCTACGAGATAAACAGTAAGGTGGTGACACTCGGTATTGTTAATCCGACACCACACGGACGGTACCGTTCAGCAAAAAATAGTTTTTATTTTAAAATATAATTATGTTCTCGACTTACTTCAGCAATTGAAGGCAGACATCTATATAAGAAAATCTTTATTACTGCCGAATACTTGAATGTGATAACGTCCTTTGCTTTGCGGTAGAAATGGCTGTCAATGGACTGAGAGTCCACTTTCAGGCCAAAAGTGCATGAGGCAATTACGTCGGTTGCGTACCGGGCGGTGAGATCTTTGGTATTCACGTCAATATATTGGCCTGTACGTAAAATTTGTGTATTAAGACCAAAATAATCTACGAGTCTCTTTTTTTAACTTATTTTTTATATTTAAAATTATGGTAACTTAAAATAAATTATGTTTAAGACAAATGAGAATCAATATCAGTAACTTAAAAACGTTTCACCGAATTCAATGAATATTCAACAATAAACTAAATCGTAAATAAGTTATGGACATTCTGTAACATTATATACATCAAATAAAACAAAAATTCTTACAAAAATATGTAGTTTGAAACTTACTTTCAGAATCTTTAATTCTTTTACTAAGAACCTTAATCATTTCTTCTCCAACATCGACCATAAAAGGCACCATTAGACGAATCTTGGAGCTGGTAAACGCTGGACTTAGCGTGGAACGCATTTCTTTCCATTCCTCACCTGTAACCATTGGGTAATATAATAATAATAATATTTTCGCATCACTCTAAAGTTCTTTTATTATATTATCGACGAACAGAAACATCTATTAGTTCTTTATTTTACAGTTTAGTAGCTTAGAATGTCTATAAAGGACCATTACCACAATGGTGTTTTAGCTAGTCTCAAATATAGAAGTACATTTCTTACCAAAATACCAAAATAGGATATATGAGTCACTTGCGAGCACGAGAGGACAGAACACTACTTACTAATACGTGATTCATATAGTAGTGACGACAAATGAAATCGGATGAGAAGGATACTGTTAGTATGGTGACGGATTAAGAAGACACTCCCTCGTCATTGGGAGGGTTTGGTAAGAGCCGACTAATTGAGCAAACTCTGCAGGATAATTAACTAATAACACTGCAAAGAGAAGGAAAACTTAAAACCAACCCTATATCCACCCGTCTGGTGATCATAGTATAGTAAACCAAAATCTTCTCTTTAAGGAGAGGCCTATGTCCAGAAGTGGCAGAACTTTAGTAGACAATACTTTAGTTAGAAGAAAATTATAATATTTTCCTCTATGTGTCTGGTAAATCGTATTTTTGATAAAAAAAATACAATTTCCGCTTTAGTGATATATCTTGTGTCGCGGAGGACTTTAAAAACATATAAGAAACTACACAAAGAACACCTAGACTCTGAACAACAATTTGTGGAAGATATAAAGTGTCTTCCCATATGGGGATCGAACACATAACACTCAGGGTAGTAGTAAGTTTAAACCACTATGCCATCCGTGTCGTAAGAGTCGACTAAAAGAGGCAAATTCTGCAGCACAACATTACTGCAAAGAGAAGGAAATCTTGGCACAAATCCTATACTAACCCCTCTGGCCAGCATGCTATAGTAGGCCAAAACCTACTTTCTAAGAAGAGGCTTATGTCCAGCAGTGGACTATTGGAGAACGAACAACAACGTCAAAGAACTACTCACCTTTTAAATTGAGTAGACTTCTTCCGAAGGTAGGATCTAACTCACTGAAACCCCTTCTATCGACGAAGTGGTCAAAATCTTTGATGGTGACATTTTTTATGATATCTACGTCCTTCACAATGTATAAAGGATTCAACAGTTCGTATACTCCCACGACTCTGGAAATTACTATGAAATTTGAGTTTCAAGCACCGTCCAGGTAACCAAAATAATAATATATATTTTCTCAGTTATCTCGTTATATCGATGGTGGTGTCCAAATTTAATTTCTTAAAAAAAAAATTTTGGAAAATAAATAGTTTTTGACCAATGTCTTTGTTAGAGTAAACAATTACTTATAGTAATTTTAAAAGTAATAAATATAAATTTGTTTCCTAATTCACTTTATACTTACTTATCATCAGGAAACTTAGAGCTTAACTTCGCCAAGAAATCGGTGATGTTATCTGAGCTAAAGAATACCCAGAAGAGGTTGCCGAATATCGGAACAACAGGAAGGTGGTTGACTCCATCGTTAGCAAGCTTTGAGTAGACCTTGCGCAGGTACAGTGCCAGCGCCAGGATAGCCACAATAAGCCATATTATGGCTATCATTCTGTCTTTAGAAAAGGCGGGAACACACTACATTAACACTAAAAAAATTACTCCTTTTACAATACAACCATGATAAACACAATCAAACTTTTGCAAGCAGGTGGTAGAAGAGATCCGGATGCCTTTATAAGAGCTATTTCCGTATCCCTTCTGTTTAAAGCGCTGTTTAGCATACCGTGGGGGTTTAGTCAGTTTGATTACAACACATCACCCCATTGCAAACACGTACAAAAAACCGAATTGACACAAATAAAACATAAATAAAAAAAAACTTCTTAACCGAAAATTCAGGCCTCATTACTTAATTAAAATTGGGAAGCAATTTTATGTATTGTAAGTAGGTACATGATAAAAAGGATTTGTAGTTTTTGCGTATTTATGTTTTGAATAAATATAATGGTTTCAAATAATGATATATTTAGTATAGTAAGTCAATAGTCCCATAAAAACCGATAGTATATATTAAAATGAATTTTAATAAATTTGAAAAAAAGCGTAAGGTGCCTGTTGTCAATAGTAAAAAGCACCCCACGCTTTGTTTCAAATTTATTAAAATTTATTTTCTATTTTTTAGTTTTATTTTCTGTAAAAAGCGTTTTTTTTTTGTTTTTTAAAACATTTTTTTTTAATTAGTGTATTGGCATCGGTCCTCGATATATCTACAAAGTTTGAACGAATTCTGACCGTTTAAAGTCAGTCAAAATCACGCCCAAAGGAGTCGGTTACAAACAAACATACAAGTGAAGCTAATATAAAGCGTGTAATTTAAAAATAATCGTTAGTTTTAACTACAAAACTCAAAAAACGAATTGAAAGTAAACGGTTTTTTTTATATTAAAACATTGATGTTATAAAATATGCACTTAGAGGTGTAATACAAAATAGGTATACTGACTAAAGTATTGAAGAGATAACAATTACGTAATAAAAGATAAAATACTTTTGTTTGTGCACTATATAATTATATCTGACTAACCTGTTTATAACTTTTTTTATAAAAACCGCGTATCACAACATTAACGTTCGTTCACGTGCCCAACTTTCAAGCAACTGACATGACAACATGCGATATATTTATATTTTTTATTATTATCGTTTACATTATCTGAATATCGGAAACATATTATGAGCTAATGCGATTACACACTAATACCTAGTGTGTAATCAAACACATTTCCAATCTTTATTTATGGGTCAGAAAGCAAGTCTCTTAGAAACAAGAAAAATCTATGATTTACAGATGTGGTACTGGAGACGACCGTTAAAGATACCCTGAACAGCGTTCCGCACTAATAACTTCATCCTCAAAGAGCTTCACATACGAAATATTCTCGTAAATATCATCCTCAATTGTGCAGTTGTGAATACTGAACTTCTTTGCCATCATCTCGAGACTCAATGGAGATACTTGCCGTGTGGAGGGCACAAGACCACCGGGTCGATCCCCAACCCGCTGGATCGCCTTAAGTAATTAAAGCTACGACTTAATTGACTGCAGTACAATTTGCTTGCAATGCGGAGAACCGAGAGAAATGGAGAGACATCGCAAGACGTGCAGCAGCCCTGAAAGTGAGCCGCGACGGTGAGCCTCAACCTTGCCCATCATTGCCCATTGCATCAACAGCCACGACCGATCTGGCAAGGGTGTCCGACCAAGAAGAATCAAATACAAACTCAACTCAAATCTTTATTTAGTAGGCTTTGTTGGAGTGTGATAAAGATTCCATAATCCGTTCGGGTCAATGAAATCTTCATCAGTGATGGCGCTTTCAAACCACTTAAGAGTAAAGGTTTCTCTTAGACAGACGTGTCATCATCATCATCATCAACAGCCGTTAATAGTCCACTGCTGGACATAAGCCTCTCCTGAGAAAGGAGGTTTTGACTTACTATACCACGCTGGCCAGACGGGTTGGTATAGGGTTTGTGTCAAGTTTTCCTTCTCTCTGCAGTGCTGTTGTCCTGCGTAGTTTTTTACCTTAGTCGGCTCTTACGACACCCACGGGATGAATAGGGGTGGTGACACTCTGTATTCTTAATCCGTCACCACACGGACCCTTAATCCGTCACCACACGGACGTGTACCACTCTCATTTTCAGCCTTTCTTTCTATTAGGCGAATTGAAAGAACATCTTCTTCTATTTATTAATTTAAAGATTTATATCAAACGGTTTTACTGTAGACGTAAGGTTAATGACTTTTCATACGTTCTGTCAGACAGTAATTACTCATGCTCCAATAAATAACATAAAATGGTTATTTTACTTTACTGAAATGAATGCCAATAAACTTGTTTACATCTATTTTCATCACCTTAGTGATGATATACATAAATCCTCATTTATCATTAGCTTTACATATAACGAACTAACTGTATTAACACCTCTTGAAAGTTATTTAAAAAACAGCTATTGCAAAAAATGCTTTTTGTACTTATCTTAGCCTGTAATCATGTGATAACTTTTATTAATTTAAATCTATCCGTAAGATGGAACTTTAAATATGGCTTTTAAAACAATCTTTTTTAAACTCGGTTAAAAACTCATTCACACGTCTGTAAAACTTGCACAAATAAATATTTCAGTTTCAGTTCTGCAGCAAGAGGAGTTTGTTTATATAATTATGTCGCAAGTACATTAAGTTTATAAAGTAATCTCTATTTATATAACTCTGCTAAGTATTTATGTCAATGAACTCCTTTTAAGTCATTGAATGGATTTCAATTAATTTAGAGCTGAGTACCATTACTCGGCTTTATATTAGGTTTGCAGTCCCTTGGATAGGCGTCCACAATCTACAAATAATAAAATACATTTATCATTCATCATCAGCCTATCGCAGACCACTGCTGGACATAGGCCTTTATCATTAAGTGCATTTATTATATCATTAACAAGAACAAAATTGTATATGATTTATATCTATTTATATAATTCTTCTGTATGTGTTTATTCCACTGAACTATTCCACCGCTGGACGAATTTTGATAAAATTTTCTTATAGTTGCAAAGGTGGGTTGGTGGGCTTTTAATCATGTTAATACCTAAACTTAAATAGAAGGATTAGAGAAAGATAATCTGTCAGTCAGTCACTCTCAAATTGTATTTTCAGGCGTCCCTTTTTCGATTTTCTTTAACATTAGCGCTTTAATTTGAGAGGGTCTGAAAATATTTTGACGTAATTATTTTAGGTGTTTCAAATACTGGTATATGCATAGCATTGAAATGTTATTGGCTCAAAAACATACCCATACACTCCCATGCGCTTGGAGGTTGTACCAGCACCGTTATCAATTTAAAAAATATTATATAGATACGATGCTTATGTTATTTAGCTGTATGGTTGTTATTAATTTAACAACTTTGGATGCATATAGTTGGTTATTATTCAAGAGTAATCATGTTTTGACTTTACCTCTTCACTGCTTGTATATTCACTGTTGCATGTCTTGACGCAGATGATAGGGCACTTAAATAATTATTAACGTTTAAAAACATGAAAAAAATGCAAGTGTTTGCATCACAGCTTTGCTACTACAAAAAGTAGTAAGACCTTGTTACCTAATTATGTAGTTAACTACCAAAATTGTTTGGTGGCTTTATTAATTCATCAAATCAGCATTAAAGGACAAAACTAACAGCAACGGGCTGAACCATGTGCTTTACTTAATTATACCATCATTGACATATTTTTGACTTGCGTCTCTATTTCTGAATTTTGAGAATAAGTTTAGAGTGAATAGGAATAGTGTAGGGATTCACAGCGATTATCTGTTCGTATATATGGAGATTGTGGTTAATTTATAGCAAAAAAAAATCGGTTGTCTGTAAAGTCGGTTTACTGACGATAGTTGAACGTGACAACGTCATAAGAAAATACTGATGGAATGGTTGCATTTTTCAAAAATGTATTATTGTATACGAGTAGCAGCTGTCCACGCGGACGCATCGCTCACTCAAGTAGGAGAGAGACAGATGTCGAACGCTGCCGAACGCGGACGCCGATTGTGCCTCTTTGTCACTCGTTCCGCGCTCTCGCTTGCACTTCACGCCTTAAATGGAACGCCTCAGAGCGAGGTAACGCCGCATGAGTCATGTTTTTTCGTGCGTGCAGCCGGCTCCATCGAATTATAAGACGTTGTCAGGTCAAAAAATTAACAAAAGGAGCCAAGTTTTTACCCTTTCTAAATCTAAGCTATTAAGGAAGTAGTTTTTTATGGTGTTTGAGAGGACGAAATCTTCAAAAGACACATATCAAGTTGTTGTAGATCAATCGTGGGGGACATTGTGTGGGACCGCGGGACCACGCTTGCATTACTTCGTAGGACTAGGACGCTTTAAGGCCGTTTGGCTGCGGCTACTCCTCCGTGTTAATTTCTTCTTACTTTTTCTGCAGCAGGACCTCCCGTACAAACCCCGTCATTGCTGTCCAGTTATTTGCCGATTTTCGTATCCAAGGGATGACCTCTTCCGGTCTTCGTGGCACTCCCTTCTCACTATGCCAACGCAGCCCTATTTCTGCCCAACGTTGGCAGATGAAAAAGGTGTGCTCGATTGAATTTACTTCTCCCAAACAGTACACGCAATTGGGACTGTTTCAAATACTCATACAGTGTAGATAGGCATTGAAATACCCGTGTCCAGTAAGAAACTGTGTGAGGTAATAATCCACCTCTCCATGTTTAAATAGGACCCAGTCACGGACTCGCTCAATAAGCCTATAAGTCCAACGCCCGGTTTCTCCTGATATCCAGCGCCCTTGCCATAGCTTAAAGGTCTCCTCGCGTTGTCGAGTCCTAACGTCCATCAAAAATTCTTTGGCAGCCGCCGAGCATCCCAGATACGCCTTCTCTCTTGAAACCCAGATGGTCGATGGGAAATGTACTGGAAATGATCAGAACAGCCGCCTCAGATACGTACAGGCTATTCTCAGTGCGCTTCGACGTTGTACCGATGCGAGTCGTACTCAATAGGCTGTGTACATATGATGGCCTCAACTTAGGAATTTATCGACCCGATCCAAAATAAATGTGGCTGTGGCACGTCTTTACAGACAACTGCTCAGTTGTCAAAATGCCCCAGGAGCCCAGAAACTTGTACGCTTGACGACTTAAATCAAGCAAGGCCAAACGCCATCCGCGTCACCGAGCATTTGGCCAAAACCATTTAAAGTGTTGCAATCAACATGATAAGAAGAAGAATTAATTTCTTATTTATCACAGTATCAATAAAATAAAATATAAATATATAAAAATAAATAAAATAAAAATAAATAAATAAGAATAGAGTTAAAAACGTAAATTCTTTATTTAGTCACATTCTCTAAGTTCGAGTCGAACCCAGGCACCGTTTTGAATATTCATGAGAAATCCTTTTGCTAATTCAAGTGGAATTCTAGTTTTTTCGCAGGGGCTCACTTTAATTTTACGAAGAAGTTGATAAAGCATCACCTTGACTTCACAGAGAGCAAAACGAGAACCTGGAAATGAACAAATTGATGAGAAATTAAAATGGACTTATAGTAAATAATCATGATTAATTGTATAAAGTTTGCAAATCGTAAAAAATAACGTATTTTTATGCACTAACCGATACAATTTCTTGGTCCCAGTCCAAAAGGCATGTAAGAGAATGGTTTTATGTTGTGCTTGTTCTCATCGGAGAAGCGCTCCGGGTCGAACTTCTGGGGGTTGGGGAAGAGTTGTGGGTCTCGATGGAAGATGTAAATCGGAAACCCAATAGCAGCACCTTTACGCACCTAGTAAAATAAATAAAATATTTATTAATATATTTAAAAAATATATTCAGATTTTCGTTAATAACTCTGAAACTATTAATATTTAAGATTTTTTTCAAAAGATCCTTAGAGAGAAGAAAGTTTCCAATAAAGAAGTCAGGACTCCCGAAATTCTATCTTTATTATTTATAATTATTTTTATCAAATATTAATTTAAAAAATTAGAAAAAATAAACCTGGGGTTATAAATTGTTTATTAAAAATTGTTAACTTCATAAACAATGATATTATTGTTTTTTATGTTTACCTTTTTTTATTTCATCTTATTTTGTCATAAACAATAGCATTTTTTTATGTGCTAATAAATGCTCGAGCTACCTGTTTCTAGACGTCGTTCCGGGACCGGAAACAAGAATGAACCCGTTAATAACTTGTTGACTGGACTAAATATGAGCAATACTTACTATTAAGTCCTTGGTTGCAGTTTTGTTAACTCTGCCAAAGTTGTAGTCTTTCACGCATATCCTGTCCAGGAATGGAGCTGGAGGATGCATGCGCATGCCCTCTGTAATTAAAAGCCAGATATATTTTTTTATTGAAATATTAAAGGCTGTTAAAGTATGGGTTATATGTTAATTGTCATGCGTCGCAGTTTTGGTAGCATGGATCGGGAAAAGCTATGTACAGATGTTAGAAGCATCGACTGGCAACCTCTGTTATCTTCTGAGTGTATTGACACCAAAGTGAAGATTTTAAATGAAAACTTAATCAATATACTTGATATTCATGCACCTCTTCGTAGTGTTAAACTAAAGCATTTGCCAGCTCCATGGCTCACCGATGAAATACGAGCCATCATGTCGAAAAAGGTAGCGGCAAAGACGAGATACAAGCGTCGACCTATACAAACTAACTTCGACAAATATGTGACTATAAGAAATCACTGCAATAAGGTGTGTAGAGAAGCGCAACGCCTACACATCCATAAATCTGTTGAAAACAACGATTAGATGAGGATCTGGAAATTTCTGAAAACATTAGGAGTTGGAAAATCGAACCTAAACCCTATTTCTAAAAACTTAAATCTTGATTCACTTAACAAGCATTTCTCCTCCTCGTCTGAGTTTGATGAGACAACAAAAGCCAAAACTTTAAAATATATTTCATCTATTCAAACTCCTAATTACTCTCCCTTCATTTTTAATCAATTGGCAGCTTGTGATGTTAGGAAGAGCATACTTTCAATCTCATCTAATGCGGTGGGAAGCGACTGCCTCAGTAAAAAAATGATTGTCCCCATCCTTGATGATATTCTTCCTGTCCTATGTAACATTTTCAACCATTCCTTATCCTACAGCGTCTTTCCATCTGCATGGAAAGCAGCTGAAATTATTCCATTGCCAAAAAAATCTAAACCTTCGTCCTTCTCCGACTATCGCCCTATATCTATCTTACCATAGAAAGGATTCTAAAGTTCTTGAACGTCTTGTTTATAATCAACTCAACAAGTTTCTGTTAAGTAACAATCTCCTAAATCCCTTTCAGTCTGGCTTCCGTGCAGGACACAGTACAGTTTCAGCATTAGTCCACATTACAGATGATATTAGAGGAAATATGGATAGTGGAAACGTAACGGTGTTATCCTTACTCGACTTCAGTAACGCATTTAATACAATCGATTTCCATATTCTCCTCGGTATTCTTCGCTCTCTTAACATATCTCCAGGGGCAATTGATTGGTTTCACAATTACCTGTTTGGGCGTCAGCATCGCATTCGACTTGAAGACTCCCTCTCTTCACGGTGTAATGCAACTGTCGGTGTCCCACAGGGTGGCGTTCTATCTCCATTACTCTTCGCAATTTTTATCAATTCTATTTCCAATCATTTACTTTCATCCTACCACCTGTATGCTGATGATTTACAGATATACATCCATGCACCTGTCAGTATGTTATCGACTGCGCTTAATATTATTAATGCAGATCTAGAGCACATAAGTGCTTGGAGTAACGACTATGGACTCAAAATTAATCCCACAAAATCACAGGTATGCATCATTGGGAGTCCCATAATGTCTGCTAAAATTAATTGGTCACATTTGCCTCCGGTTCAATTTAACAATACCATCATACCGATCAGCAGCAAAGTAAAAAAACTTGGGAGTTATAATCGATAGCACCTTATCATGGGGACCTCAGATTCAGGAGGTGAGCCGCAAAGTCTTCGCTGCAGCGGGATCTTTGCGAAGGTTACGAAACTTTCTTCCGCCTGCTACTAAAACTGCACTTGCACAAACGCTCCTTCTTCCGATTCTTGACTATGCCGACGTTAGCTATCTCGATCTCACCGAAGCACATCTTGATAAACTTGAGCGTCTCCATAATTTTTGTATACGACTCATATTTGGACTTCGCAAATATGATCATGTTTCCCACTACCGTAAACAGCTCAGGTGGCTTCCGATCCGATTTCGCCGGAATACTTATATCCTTACGCTTCTGTATAATATACTGTTTAATCCATTAACTCCTATTTACCTCAAAGAACGCTTTAAGTTCCTTCATGATACACATATTAAATGTCTGAGGTCCTCTGAAAGCCAAGGCAAGGCATTCTACCAATTTCTACACAAAGTCATTTTCCGTAGAAGCTGTACGTTTATGGAATGCCTTGCCGGTTACTATCAGACGTGCGCAATCCGTAACCACCTTCAAGACTATGCTATATGAGCATTATCTGTCTCTAATAGTTGAAAATTAGCGTATGTATATATTAACGTATGTATGTATAGTATTTATGTATAAATATAGATTAGTGGTATTTATGTATAAAAAAAATATTTTATAGGTTAAGACCTTATTTACTTCTCTAATTTATGTATACCTATCACCATTTCAAAATGAATCCATCCAAAGGTTGCCTGGAAGAAATTGCACTAAGCCATAAGGCCGCCCTTTGTACATTACATCGGTCGTTAATTACTGTATAATGTCTGTAAAACATTGGTGTACAAATAAAGTATTTATCTATCTATCTATGTGATTGATGGTATATGTATGACATTAGTTGTACGTATATAAATTTATCGTAAAGCCTTGTGGCAAAACACAATGAAAATACTAATTCTAATTTCAATTTTTTTTTCATTCAGATGATCGATGCCAAGCCTGATTCCATTTGGTGTAATTTTATCAATATTCATATCTTCGTAGAATTGACACTCACCTGACACAACCATATCCATATACTTCATACTCTGTATTGATTTGAAATCCAACTGACCACCATTCTTCTGATCAAATTCTTTTATTTCTTCTACCAACTTCTCTTGTACATCGGGATTTACAGCCAGTTCGTGGATAATGAATGTCATTGCCGTTGAAATTGTGTCAAAGCCAGCCAAGAGAAATAGAACTGCTTGAGCTACTAAATCGTCGTCTGACCATTCTGTAACGCATATAAGATTCAAGTGTTACTAAAAAGTTGAAATACAAACAAAAAATTGAAGATAAAAGAAGGTAATCTTTTCCAATTTTTGTGTATCATATTTAGTAATCTATTAAGAGGTTTCAAACCTCTTCAAATGTATCACTGCCCCTACGATGTCAAACATTAGTCAAACATTACAATGTACAATATTTCTATATTCTATCTTATTTTACATAAATTATAATAATATAATTGAAGTTATCAAATCAAATAATATATTTTGCGAAAATGGGTATACATATTAAGGTGTATCATATTTGACACATATTTGTGTGTATCATATCTGAGTCAAAAAATTCCTCCGCATCGTCGCCTATTGGTGTCGCTCGTATTTACTTAAGTTAATTTACCCCTTTCGCGCAACTTTTTGCCAATATGTGATTCTTCCACTGTAGCAAAACCGGCGCCACTGTCAACATCTGTGTCTTTCTCATGGCTCAATTTCCCTGAAATAAATGACAGGTAGTATTTTTTATTATTCAAAATTACAGACTGGAATTTTGAACAAACAGAAATGTTTAAAAATATTTTTTGTCGCACCAACAGAAAAACGCATTTTCTACTGAAATATAATAATACTAGCTGACCCCGCGAAACCTGACGTTGTTTTGCCATATACATTATGTCGGTTTACCATAGCAGTGCCATCTATTGATTACTTACTCAATCCAGTCGAAAAGTATCGACATCTGTTAGAATCTTTTGGAGTTAACAGATAATTGTGACTGTCAATTAATTATAGACCAATAATTTGCAATAAAATAAAATTGCGACTATAATTAAAGATCTAAGCTATCCTATCTCTTAAGTTGGACCAGACTGCTCACGGTGTGCCAATTTAATTTAAAATCGGTTAAGTAGTTTAGGAGTCCATCGCGGACAAACATCGTGACAGGAGATTTATATATATTAAGATACTATTAAGGTTAATGCAAGAGCAATATTTTTTCAAGACTCTTACAAAGTCACCATTCAAATTATTATGTCAAAAGATAGCCATGGGAGCTATTTTTTGACATAATGTTTTAAACTTATTTCATATGAATAAGAGTAAGTTTTTTTAGCTACCTTTTTTTATCTCATTGAGAATGTTGATCATATCATGTCGGATGATATTTCTCTTCTCACGTTCTTCTATAGTGGACAGTACCACGTTTGAGAAGAAACCAGAGGTCTCAGATGAAGTCAATGACAGCTTCAGCATCTGTACATTGATATAAATTAGGATAACTTAATACCAGTTTTCTTAACTAACTAAATATTTGAGGTTTTAGGATTGATTTTTGAAGTTCTTGGTACATTTGATTAATATTCTTTTAAATAGTCCTAAATTGAAATGCGTGTGTATCAGGACCCGTTTTTTTTTCAACCATTTAGGTGTGACTGTTTCTTCAGTCATGAATCCTTTGATAGAGTTTGTCATCCATCTGTCTCCGTGGCTTGCACTGAGTAGGCTGATGAAGTGCACTAGAAATTATGCCGACTACATTTTTCTTTAGAATGGTGCTATTTATTACTATCTAATAATACCAAACTAGTAAACGGTGAATCAGTAATATGCTATTAATTCATCCTGAATAACTTGCTGAAGATATCATTTAGTAAAGCTAGTTTTAATAAATAAATAGTCATGTACGTGACTTACATCAGCAATAGAAGGAAGACATCTCAAGAAGAAAATTTTCATCAACCTCGTAAAATCGAATTTGACAATATCCTTGGCTTTGACGTAGAAATGGCTGTCAGCGGACTGAGAGTCCACTTTTAGGCCAAAAGCGCATGAGGCAATTACGTCGTTTGCGTACCGGGTGGTGAGATCTTTGGCACTCACGTCAATATATTGGCCTGTACGTAAAATGAGTTGATCAAGACAAAAATATTGTAAGAGTTTTTATGGGCTGTTTGACTGAAAATTGAAATAAAATTCAACAATGAACTAGATTAATGCGATTGATGATTTAATTTAATAAACTTAAGTTTTCTGTCTTACAGGTGGAATATTCTCAAGGAATTCTAATGAGAGCACTTTTAAATATAATCAATATAATTTGAGGAATATTTTATTTAAATCAATTTACAAATGAAGAAGATATCGTGGAACATAAAAAAAGAACAAAGTATCGAATTAGAGAAACTTGGAGTACCATTAAATGTAATGGTTTTCAAAATTGCTACAATATGTGTGTATAAGTATATAATAACGTTCACATAGCAATCTTTGCATGAATTTTACTCAAAATTAGCGTTTGTTATTATATTGTAGACGCGGAAAGCATAATCACAGTGATCATAGATATTCCTTGTTGTCATATACTATTGGCCAGAATTACTAATAACATTTAAAAAAATAATTCTATTTTTTTAAATGTTATTAGTAATTCTGGCCAATAGTATATATAGATTCATTCATTCATTAATCGTGAATATATAGATTCATTCGGTAATAATTTGAGCATCAAAAACAATTTCTCTCACTCATTTCTAGGTTAATTCAAAATGTGGCACTTACTTTCAGAATCTTTAATTCTTTTACTAAGAACCTTGATCATTTCTTCTCCAACATCGACCATAAAAGGCACCATCAGACGAATCTTGGAGCTGGTAAATGCTGGACTTAAAGTGGAACGCATTTCTTTCCATTCCTCACCTGTACTCGTTAAGGAATAAAATTATAATATTTTCTTAAGTTACATTGTAACGCATTAGTTCGAAGTATTTTTTTTTTATCTTTATCGAATAAAATTTTTAACAAACACACAAACAAATTAATAAAAATATAATTATTAATACATAATTTATAATCGTCTACTAAAATTACTGGCTACTGCGCTACTGGCAAACTTATGTCTAATAAGAGAAATTGGAAACAAAAGTAGGAGATTTATTTTTAATTATAGCCTCTTCAGGGAGTACCTCTACTATTCAAGATACCTCATCATCATCATCATCAACAGCCTTTTATAGTCCACTGCTGGACATAGGCCTCTCCTTAGTAATGAGGTTTTGGCCTACTATACCACGCTGGCCAGACGGGTTGGTATAGGGTTTGTGTCAAGTTTTCCTTCTTTTTGCAGTGCTGATATCCTGCGTTGTTTCGCACCCTTAGTCGGCTCTTACGACACCCACGGGATGAATTGGGGTAGTGACATTCCGTATTCTTAATTCGTCACTACACAGCACTATACACCAGTTCTCAAAGCTATCATATCGTATTATTTATAGTTAAAGTCAAAATAACTTTATTTCCTAAATAAAGTACAATTGTTTAATACTGTCTCTTATGCACACTACTCTAAAGCCATGGGTCAACATACATAATAGCAACAATCTGAATTGTCAATTGTTTAGAAAAAAAATTATTACATACCCATCGAATATCCATTATATGCCTTTGCCGATCTACAACCGCCCGTTCCCAAGCAGTGAGCCTTATGAGAAGAAAGGGCAAAACAAACCTACGGCCACTATTTTAAAATTACCAGGTGTATAAAAATAACTTAATAAGATACATTGGAATCATTAAATCTACTACAGATTTTTTGTTTTGATGTGTGCCAGGCAGTATACTGTATTTATTAAGTAAAACTTATTATCTAATTAACTTTAATTAGGTAAAGTATACAGTGATCTTGCAGCTCGCTTTCAAAGTTCCGACATTTGTGAGCATAACAATACTACACACACTTGTTACCATCCCAACTTCAACCGCAAAACTAGACAATACTAAAGGAAATGATACTATTTTCCTCCACGTGTCTGGTAAACATTAAGTAAATAATTACTGACCTTTTAAATTAATTAAACTTCTTCCAAAGGTGGAATCAAACTCACTGGCGAAACTCCTTCGATCAACGAAGTGATCAAAGTCTTTAATGGTAACCTTTTTTATCATGTCTACATCTTTCACAATGTAAACAGGATTTAACGTTTCATACATTCCCACGACTCTGGAAATTACAATGATATATTATATACTAGCTGTGCCCGCTACTTGGTACGTGTGAAATTTGGCTTTGGGTATTATTAGGGACTAATAAATACTACCACAAACCCTAAAATACCACTTGGCAGTTAGAATTTTTTATATTTTTCTTGAACTTTGAAATTTGCAAGGTTTTTAATTGTGGCCTAACTTTGCTAAAATATGGATGTCCTCATCATCATTTCAGCCGAAAGACGTCCACTGATTAACATAGATCTCCCCCATGATTCTCCATAACAACCGGTCATGTGCTGGACAAATCCAATGGCTTTCCGCAACCTTCACCAGGTCGTCAGATCACCTTGTGACCACCCCCACACTTGAGACCACGACCCACGTTCCGTCCTCCGGTACGTGGTTCCAACTAACACTTACCACTGCTGCTTAAATTTGGTAATTCTCCTCATTCCAGGTTCGATCACGCAGAGAAACTCTAAGCATTGCCCTCCCCATTGCGTCCCCGTCCCCGTTAAGAGACTTTAACCCTTCTTCGGTTGAGACATATTTTTTGCAACGTTCTATTGACGGCCTTTTGAAAATGTTATAAGCAGTTTTACCACCAGGCAATAATGCGTCAGTTATACCAGATGACACTACAGTAAGAGCATTCGTTATTTGGCGACGAATTATGGATGTAAAAGTCCGAAATAAATAATTTGAATTGAATTAGCGCGACGATAACTTTAGTGAGAACTGTTTCACCACCACGCGTATTTAACAAAACAAAAACGTCAAATTATTAGCGCAGCTATCACAAACCATATGGAAGGTAGCTAGTTGCACTTCTGTCAATTTGGGCAGGCTTTCTTGCAGCATTTCCGTTACTTTTGCGGAATTATAATTCGTTTCAGCAGAGTACTCACGGTAAACCTTTTTTTTATGTCAGAGGGGGCAGACGAGCAGATGGGTCTGGAAATCCCTCAGACGATAACCCGTTAAACAGATTAGTTGTGCGGGGCAAAAAGTGTCTCAAAAAGCTCATAGCAATGGAGCGCCAACTATGCAGGTGATGAGTTTGAAAATTTTGCCGTGTGGAACGATGGCGGAAAGTTGCGGCTGGTATTAGTCCGCACAATTCCTTGGATCACTCTCCATGATATGATTCGATATAGAATGCAGAGTTAAGCCACATCTGTACGTAAAGCCAAGGGATCGAGCCGATCGGAGATGTTTGGGCTATCGATGATTCGAGTCGCTTTTCGGTAAAAAAAACCCATAGAACAATAAAGAAGAACAAGAATAATTATCTGTAATTTTTGTCTATCTGACTATCAATATGTTATGCAATTACACAAAAAATATCAAACGGATCTTAATTAAATTTAGCATAGTGATTGATTGTGATAAAAATACCTGTTTAAGTCCCAGTAATTTACTCTGTCCGATAAATTCTAAAGCATTTAGGTATAATAGTTGATTGTAACTATCATAATGGGTCTTGGTCATCACAAAAATTATTGCAGATGTTGAATCGCCTGGATTCAACATCTGCAATAATTGACTTGATTGACTCTGTGAAAATCTTCAGTTCACGGTTAGCGATCAGGTGTTCGTCACGTTTCATGAAGCTTTCGGAAGCGCGAGAGTCAGCAAGACGTTGACTATCAGCGGTCAGAGGAAGTTTGTGATGACTAAGACCGATTATGATAGTTACAATCAACTATTATACCTAAATGCTTTAGAATTTATCGGACACAGTAAATTACTGGGACTTAAACAGGTATTTTTCAATATCATAAATAATTAAGAATTTTTAAATATAAAATAAGGTCACTTTATAGAACAGCAAATAAATAAGTAAATTTTGGTTCTAATTTAAATCTAAACCCTACTTACTTACTAGAAATCAAAGAACTAAAGAAGAGTTAATTTTTTTAATGTCCATAGCAATGATCTAATTATGGAACGTAAAAATGAGAAAAGAGAAAAGACTGAAAATATTAGCCACCGATTCACAAAGCACCAGTGACTACACTGTGATATCTACTGAACCCTCTATTGATTCATGTTAGTACTATATTATTAAAAACTTTTTGTCTTGATCAATTTGCATTCAAGATTAGGATTCTTATTAAAATATAGAAGTTTCAGTTTAGAAACATTACAAAATATCGTTATTAGTTATTATCGTTAAGTAATTACTTAAAGATAATATTTTAGTTTAACGATTATAAATATTACTGAACAATAAAGTGGTTCATCATTTTGTTTATGTATGCTTAAAGAAAGATTATTCTTTAATAATACCTATATTTTTACAATTATTAGGTCCTTACATATGAAATTAGCGTTTTGTCGTACTGACCACTTTCATCTGAAATATATCCTCTTTGGTTAAGAATTCCAAATTCAAATTTACAAATTCATTAAGCTGGTACATTTGAGTTTTGAAAACATTATTCATTTGTTTTTTCCTCATTATTTATTCTTTTACATTACATGAAAACATGAAATTTCGGTATATTTACGAGTAGGAGTTCTACCGTGGCACCAGTGCTGCAGAAACAGCTCGAAGGATTAATAATGTGGACCGCGCTGGTGTCGCAAAAGAGTGCACGGTACGTTTTTGGTTTCAACGTTTTCGTTCTGGAAATTTCGACCTTTAGATCCAACCCTGTGGACGGCCGAAGACCAAAGTGGAAAATGAAGAATTAAAGGCTATTGTGGAAGCGGATCCATCACAAAGCACTTCAGAGATAGCTGCAGGCTTCGGGGTAAGTGATAAAATTGTATTAACCCACTTGAAGCAAATCGGGAAAGTAACAAAACTTGAACGATGGGTACCTCATGAATTGAGTGAATCGAACTTGCAAACACGCGTCGACTACTGTGTTACTTTGCTCAGCCGACACAATAATGAAGGGATTTTAAACGAATCATTTTTTGTGATGAAAAGTGGATACTGTACGATAATCGAAACGCTTGTCGCAATGTCTGAAACCTGGAGACCCACCCAAATAATGCCTTAAACGAAAATTGACTCAGAAAATGTTACTTGTGAGTGTTTGGTGGACTAGCGCCGCGGTCGTTCACTACAGCTTTCTAAAATCTGACTAAACGATTACGGCAGATATATTTTGTCAGCAACTGCAAACCATGAAGGAAGAACTAGCTGCTAAACAACCGAGATTGGTCAATCGCTCTAGGCCACTGCTGCTTCACGACAACGCAAGACCACACACTGCACAACAAACAACCACTACGTTAGATGAACTACAATTAGAATGTCTGCGACATCCACCGTACTCCAAGGACCTTGCTCCAACAGATTACCATTTTTTCCGGAATTTGGACAACTTCTTACAAGGAAAAAATTCAACTCCGATGCAGTAGTCCAAACCGCCTTTAAAGAGTTTATTGTTTCTCGCCCCCATGTTTTTTTTAAGTAAAGGGATCAATGAACTACCTATGAGATGGCAAAAGTAAATAGATAACAACGGTGCATACTTTGATTAATTAAATATATTTTTTACAAAAAAAAATAGACTTTATATTCCACCTGTACAAAACGCCAATTTCATAGGTAAGGACCTAATATTTATTGCAGAATGTTCATAATTTATATTTCAACAACTAACCGCAATACCTTGGGATAAAAATGTAATAATTTATATTTAAAAATGCTATGAAAATAACAGAAATATATTATAAACAGAGAAATAACCCAAGAACTAAGTGGGACTTGAACTCACACCTATCCCAGTGCAGTTGAACGCTTTAATCACTGAACTATAAATAATTGCGAACACATTGATAAATAGCCTGTAAAATTAGACATGAAAAACATCGCAGTTTGTTTTTATTGCTCCATTTGTGATTTTGTACCCCCAAACTCATTTTCAAAACTCAAAAATAGAAATGTATACTGCACTCCGGCCCCCATCCCATGTTGGGTCAGAGTTTTTCGAGAATAACAATTATTGCAGATGTTGACTCTAATCACTATGCTAAGTTTCATTCAGATCTGTATGATATTTTTTACATAATTGCGTAACATACAGACAGTCAGACAGACAAAAAATCCAGCTAATTATTTTTGTTCTTTTTTATTGGTCTATGGGTTTTTTGAGTAAAAATATGTAAAAAAGTTCAACGTACAAACACTTTTATACTTTTTTTATTATAAGTATAGATTATGGTATGGTTATGGTAACCAAAATAAAATGTATGATAGCATGTACATGAAACCATCATGTAACATTCCTTTAGGTCATAAATTAATGGAATTTCGTAGCCAATATAAACATTAAAAGCGAAATTTTATATTTTTGATCGATGTTTGTATTGGATTTGTAGAGATGAGAGAGAGAGAGAGAGAGAGAAATTCACTGTAAGTAATTAATTAATGATTACTTACAGTAAATTTAAGCATAATAAATATAGTTATTTCCTAATTCACTTTATACTTACTTGTCATCAGGAAACGTAGCACTTAACTTCGACATGAAATCGGTGATGTTATCTAATTTAATGAATGCCCAGAAAAGGTTTCCGAATAACGGAATGCAAGGAAGGTGGTTGACTCCTTCGTTGGCAAGCTTTGAGTAGACCTTGCGGAGGTACAGCCCCAGCGCCACGAGAACCACGACAACCCATATTATGACTATCATTCTGTCTCTAGAAAGGCATGAAATATTACATTACAACTTAAAAAAAATCATGAAAACAGTCTTACTCAATGCTAAGAAGAGATTCTTGAACACAATTACGTTAAGATTACGCGCAGTTATGTTTTGGAAGTAATGATTTCAAACAATAATTTCGATATGTAAATATCTCAAGCATAGTTAATAGTCAAATGAAACAACAAGTAGTACCTATATATTAAAATAAAAAATGACGCACTAAAAATATATTTTCATAAAATAAATGTATTTATTCATTTAAACTCCAAAACATAAACGAATTGAAAGAATATAAAGTATCACAATACAGATTGACATTGATATTATATAATGTGTATGTATACCTATTGACTAAACAATAAAAAGATAACAGTTACACAATAAGAGATAAAACACAAAATTGCTTTTGTTCGAGTATTACAATGACTCACCTGTTTATAATTTGTTTATGCAAACTGCGAATCAGAAAAAACACGTTCGTTCCCGTGCTCAACTTACAAATGAATGACGTGAGACAGCCATTTAGTGATTATTAAAAAAATTGATTATAATACTCAGATAATATGATCGCAATCAGTCCGAATTTGTACGATCACGTACTGCGTATTACATTCATACTTATATATATGTACATCTATACTGCTATTCACAATTGTGACCATTGACCAAACAAGTGCAACCTTGTCGTAATGTAGCCGATTCGCCCAACAAAAGTTTTAAAGTCCATACAACGCATTACTTTCTGAGAAAGTCTGTAAAAAAATTATTGACGATTTATTGCTATTAGATAACATAAGTAAAGGTGACCTTGACATTAAGGTGCAGGATTTGTGACATCTGATAGATATATCAAAAGAGTACAGATATTTTCCTCTCTAAACTTCAGCCATTGATTTGTGTTTAAATAATGTCAGTAATCAGTTTTAGAATGTTAAAACTCTCTTTGCCTTTTTTTTTTTTTTTTTTACGTGTGGAAATCCCCTCGGACCGTCACCCCACCGGGGTTTGCGGCGGGGTGGTGTGTCGGACTCGGACCGACTAAAACCACACGGTGTGCCACTCTGCGCCTGTAATAGGAGGGATCCGGGAACAGCTGTTATTAAGACATCCGGACCCCTCCTAGCGCCTGCCCGCTCCTGGTGCGGGCTCCGTCTCAAAATTTTAACCTCTCTTTAGGCGACGTCCGGCACACGCGGACGCCGCCCCCTCGCGGCTGGCCAAACTAATGCGGGTGGAGGGGAAACCCACCCCGATCGGGTCCGAGTGGAGATCGTCCTCCCGGGCCTTCTCCGCCGCCTCCTTCTGCGAGATTACTTCCTCGCAGAAGGTTGCGACCGCGGTAAAACAACTGTCGCTACTGGCCATGGAGCGTACTACGGCCGGTATTCACTGCAGTCATCGGAGATCCACTCCGATGACTGCAGTGAAGGCCCGGCGCTGCGTCAACCTTCATCATTCTGTAATCCGACAGCAGATCCATTCCATAAAGTCGAACTAAACGCTGTTTCTGTTTAGTTCGAATCGCTAAACTCTGGAATAACCTGTAAACCACTTCTTTAATCTCTTCATTATAATCCTGAGACGTTTGAGAGTAGACTGAGTCAATTTCTATTGGATAGTTCTCAGCTTTACTTTCTATTATGTAAGTTCCAACCTCAACACCTATTCTATTATACAGTTTAAGAATTGTTTATTAACTGACAATATAAAATGAAGGTTATTGTCTTTTCACACCTTTAGTCAAAGACAATAATTAATCATGCTCAAAGAATGCTCATGTAAATAAAACTAAGTGGTTTGTTCACGTAGACAGAGTAGATGTTCTGATGCAAAACAAAAGCAAGAATGAATAAATAAATTAAACTGTTAAAAACATATGGGAAAGCTATATATGGGAAATATACTGGCACATCAAAAAAACAATGTTGTGGTATATTTAATGATGCCATTGTATTTATATGTAAATTGCAAAAGAGTGAGTTCCCACCTATTACAGGCGCACAGTGGCACACCGTGTGGTTTTAGTCTGTCCGATTCCAACACACCACTCCGCCGTAAACTCCGGTGGGGTGACGGCCCGATGGAGTTTCCACACGTAATAAAAAAAAGGCAGCATACCCTTTTTAATATCTGTACTAATGACCAACCTCCTTCTTCTCTCTTATTCATTTACTCGGATGACTTGGTATTTGAGCAGACAGGAAACTGATTCTAGACACCCACTGTATGGCCAAAATCAAGTCACGTAAGGATTTAAAAGTCGAAACAGTTTCCTGAACACAGTTCCTACCGACGAAAGCAATGCTCCCAAGGCAAGAGAAAACATATGTTCCCTTTCTCAACCTTTGTCCTTTTGGCAGAAAAACTACCTCCAGGAGATAAACTTCTCTGGAAGGTGCTTGCACGGGGGCGGTACGGCAACCGTGGTACACCAATCAGAACTTGTACGTATAACACCGAAAGCCTGTCAATAATACAACGAATGAAACTCAAACGAAACGAACAATACTCGAACGTAACCTACGCCTAAGTACCTAAATTCCGTAGAATCCCTAGCCCTTCCATTAAGTGAACTTATTGGTCAGGTCACTTATTGGAAGGGCTAGGGAATCTGCGGAATTTAAGGATTTAGGTACCAAGGCATAGGTTACGGTGAGGGTATATATATATATGTATATATACATATATAGATAGTGCGAGCAGTCTGAGCGGTGGGACAGGGTAATGGGTCAAAGTCGGATTAGACAAAATTACTTTATTTACATAAAATTACTACTTATGTATATACTTATCTTACTCTAAGTACACATGGATGACTATTTGCTTGTGTGCCATCCGTGTGATGTGTCGATGCAGCTGCCTTAATCTCGGTCATGCCGAAATGTTAACAGTGCATGGACTTTAAGCCGTACTGCTTGTGACGCGCAGATGTTGTTGCTGTGTGATGCAACCATGTTCATGATTGACAATGGGCGATTTTTTTAACATGCCCGCGAGCCCAGAATCTTGTACGCTTAGCGACTCGATTCTGGGGTCGCGGGGCGGGATATCAAGCATGGTCCAACGTCATCCGCGTCGCCGAGAACTGGGCCAAAACCGTTTAAAAAGTTGCCATCGACACGATAAGAAGAAGAATGCATTAATTTATTATTTATCAGTATATTGTAGTACACAGCTTCAATAAAAAGCCAAATAAAACAGAATAAAGCTACCAACGTAAATTCTATATTTAGTCTTATTCTCTAAGTTCGAGTCGAACCCAGGCACCATTTTGAATAGTCATAGTGAATCCTTTATCTAATTCAAGTGGAATTGTAGTTTTTTCGCAGGGGCTCACTTTAATTTTAAGAAGAAGTTGATAAAGCATCACCTTCACTTCACAGAGAGCAAAACGAGAACCTATAAACAAACAAATTCATGAGTACTTCAATAAAATTAAAATAGCTTTACGAGCATAGTAAATAATTTTAATCGTAAATAATTGTATTAAGTTTGCAAATCGTAAAAAATAACGTATTTTTAGGTACTAACCGATACAATTCCTTGGTCCCAGTCCAAAAGGCATGTAAGAAAATGGTTTTATGTTGTGCTTGTTCTCATCGGAAAAGCGCTCAGGGTCAAACTTCTCAGGGTTGGGGAAGAGTTCCGGGTTTCGGTGGAAAATGTAAATCGGAAACCCAATAGCAGCACCCTTGCGGATCTAATAAAACAAATAATATCTCTACATAAACGTATGGATACAAAGCTTAGCACCTTTTTGGTCTGTGATTGTCCCACCCACACTTTTTTTATGACCATTTACGAATACGAATACGAAGTCGATTTTTTTTTATTAGTTGAATACTACTAGTGTAAAGTAAAACAATGATTTATCGACTATTTCAGTTGTAAAAATTAAAAAAACTAAGACAGTGTTCAAATTGTACACAATATCAGTTCTAAAACAATAACCCCAATAATATTCATGATCGACACGGCAAAAGTGCAACTTACAATTTTCATAGAGGTAGTACGTAGATGGAAAAGTATATTCATGGATAAAGAAGAGAAATCTTGCGATATGTGCAATGCTTACTATTAAGTCTTTGGTTGCAGTTTTGTTCACTCTGCCAAAATTGTAGTCTTTTACGCATTTCCTGTCCAGGAATGGAGCAGGTGGATGCAGGCGGATACCCTCTGAAACAAAAAGATTATCTATATTATTATGTTATGATTTTCCATATTCTTCTTTATTTTAGATGTCTGGTATGGTATCCATATGATCGATCGATCGATACCAAAACCAATTCTATTTGTTGTGAATTTATGACTGTTCGTATCTTTGTAGAATTGACCGCTTACCGGACACAACCATATCCATGTACTTCATACTCTGTATTGACTTGAAATCCAACTGGCCAGCATTCTTCTGATCAAATTCTTTTATTTCTTGTACCAACTTCTCTTGTACATCAGGATTTACAGCCAGTTCGTGAATAATGAATGTCATTGCCGTTGAAACTGTGTCGAAGCCAGCCAAGAGAAATAGAACTGCTTGAGCTACTAAATCATTGTCTTTCCATTCTGTAAATCATACAAGAGCCAAGTGTTACTGAAAAGTTAAAATACAAGAAAAAAATACAAGGAAGGTAAAAGAAGGTAACCTTTTGACATTTTTAGAAAGGATTTCGATTCTCCTAAATATCTGATGCGCCCGATTTTTTTTTTCATCGATTTCCTTCCCCTTTTTTTTGGTCTTGTGCGGAAATCCCCTCGGATACCACCCATCAGTCGGATGATTATGTCGGACTTGAACCGACCAAAATCATCGATTTCCTCCCCTCACATTTTTAAAATCTGTAGAAGCTTTTCCCACCGCTGAAAGCCGATACATTTTATAACTTTTGATCATTCTATTACCAAATCTCGCAAATGCAATAGGTACACATGACGCTCGAGCAAATCCCCATTTAGCATCATGGGCATTAAAGTAATTTTTCTGGTATTAAACTAATGTATAATAAAATTCTATCTTAACTTATTTTCTTGAATTATAATTTAATTAAAGTTATCATATTTGCGTCAAAAATCCTTGGCATTGTCACCTTTTGGTGTCGTTTACAGAACGCTGGCATTTATTTCTTAAATTATTTTACCTCTTACGCCCAACTTTTTGCCAATATGTGACTCTTCCACTGTAGCAAAACCGGCGCCACTGTCAACATCTGTGTCTTTTTCATATCTCAACTTCCCTGAAATAAACAACAGATTATATTTTTTGTGTATGAAATTACAGCTTAATCAGATACAATCAGAAATACGCAGTCTGAAAATTTCTACTAAAATATCTTATATATAAAATTCTCGTGTCACAATGTTAGTTACACTAATATTTCCTAGATATGATGTATATGGCAAAACAACGTTTGTCGGGTCAGCTAGTAACAATATAATATTAGGGTAAATACAAAAGCAATAATTTGTTAAAGACTATATTACGAAGTTACCATCCCATGGCCCCATCTTTTGACATAATAATTTGAACTTATTGACTAGACTTCATGATGTAGATTTAGTGTTTTTAGCTACCTTTTTTGATCTCATTGAGAATATTGATCATATCGTGTCTGATGATATTTCTCTTTTCACGTTCTTCTATAGTGGAGAGTACCACGTTTGAGAAGAAATCAGAGGTCTCAGATGAAGTCAATGTCAGCTTCAGCATCTGTACATTAAATTAAGATTTTTGAAGTTTTTGGTACTCTTGATTAATTTTCTTTTAAATAGTCCGAAATTGAAATGTATGCGAATCACCGTGAGGTACCGCTTTTTTTAACCATTTAGTTTTTTGCTTTTTCTTCTTAGCTGTCCTCTCATTGCAGCCATCATAAATTATTTGATAGAGTTTGTCATCCATCTGTCTCCGTGAGTTGCACTGAGTGGGCCGGTGAAGAGCACTAGCAAGCATCCCGATTAAATTTTACAAAAATTTTTTGAGAAAAATTGTTGTGTTTATTACTAATAACACCAAACTACTAAACGGTCATATTGAGACAGTCATATTAATTCATCCTGGTCAACTTGCTCAAGATATCGTTTAGTAAAGCTAGTTTTAATGAGTAAATAGTTATGTACGTGACTTACATCAGCAATTGAAGGAAGACATCTCAAGAATAACATTTTCATCAACCTTGTAAAGTCGAATTTGACAATTTCTTTGGCTTTGATGTAGAAATGGCTGTCAGCGGACTGAGAGTCCACTTTTAGGCCAAAAGCGCATGAGGCAATTACGTCGTTTGCGTACCGGGTGGTGAGATCTTTGGTACTCACGTCAATGTATTGGCCTGTACGTAAAATAAGTTTGTCAAGACAAAAATAATGTAGGAGTTTCTATGGGCTCTGTGTCTGAACATTGAAATAAGATTTAATAATGTACTCGTAATTCAATGATTCGATTCCCCTTATTTTTTTTCTCTTAAAAGTGGAATATGCTCCAGGAATTCTAATGACAGCAGTTTTGAATATATTCAATATAATTTCAAGAATATTTTATTGAAATCAGTTCACAAAAGAAGAAGACATCGTTGAACACAAAACAAAAACACATAATTCTATCGAATTGAGAAACTTGGAATACGCTGCTTTTTGCCGCTATTTTATTTTTGTTATGGTTTTCAGAATTACTATAAAATGTGTGTTCAAGTATACATTAAGGCTCACATAACTTTGATCTTAAGCATGACTTTCCAAGAATTTTACTCAACTTTCGTTATTATGTGTAGACGTGAATAACATAAAATCAGTGATCATAAATATTCCGTGTTGTCATACAACATTATTCAGAAATACTAATAACATTTAAAAAAAATGATTCGTAATTATACATTCACAAACTATAATAATTTAAGCAACAAAACCAAAAAAATATTAATATTGAAATGATACAGATTTCTGGGTCAATGCAAAATTTAACACTTACTTTCAGAATCTTTAATTCTTTTAGTAAGAACCTTGAGCATTTCTTCTCCAACATCGACCATAAAAGGCACCATCAGACGAATCTTGGAGCTGGTAAATGCTGGACTTAGCGTGGAACGCATTTCTTTCCATTCCTCACCTGTAATCGTTAAGGAATATAATTATGATATTTTCTTAACCAATACCAAAAAACGTATTAGTTTGAAGTGTTTTCTTTATCATTATCGATCAACAGAAACATATTATTATGTTATGCTACCTAAATAACTTAATCTACTTTATGATATTTCATTCTGGCTTTATTATAATTACAAATAAATAATAATGGTCTCCGGTTAGTGATAGCATTCTTGATAAAGAAATAAAGATCGACTAATACTACTGGAGAAGTTATCAAAAATGGGAAAAATACGAGACAAAAGTATGAGATTTCTTTTCAAATTATAGCCTCATTAGGGAGGACCTCTATTCAGGATACAGCAGCTTTCAAGCTATCATATCGTATTATTTATAGCCGAAGTAGAATAGCTTTATATTTAAAAAAAAAAAACAATTGTATGAAAATGTCTCTTTTGTAGACTAAAGTCGTAGTGTGCTGACCACACACGCAATAGCCATAATCTGTAATGTCAACCGTTTCGCAAAATAAATATTATATACCCATAAAATATCCATCATATGCCTATACCGATCTACAACCGCCCGTCTCTAAGGGGTTAGCTTCAGATAGAGAAGAGAAGATAGAGAAAAAAGATATGAGAAGAATGGCAGTGAATGTGTTTGCTCTTTGCAAACATACTCACGGATATTCTTTTTAAATTATCAGATAGATGGACAATGGAATACTTAAATTTATTACAGAATCGTTTTGATGTGTGCCAGTAAGTAAGTAAGTAAATCTAGTATAAAACTTACTATCTATATAACTTAAATGAGGTTAAGTTACAAGAGATCTTGCAACCCGCTTTCAGAGTTCTCACACTTGTGAGTAGAACAACAAACGCTTGTCATCATCCCAACTAGGGATGGAATAACATTACAATCACATATGATAAATCATATAATTGTAAATCATATCATCGCTGCTGTGATTTACGAAACCACTGCCACTTATATACTATAGTTATTACGCAATCGCTAAACTCACGAAAGGTCAAAAATAAAAAAAAAATGTTAAAAATAACTTTGACTAATTTTAATGCCATCTATATTTGTCCATAACGAAATCACAATCACATGTGTAATCGCTGCGACTAAAACCAATCATTTCATCCAATAAATATGATTCAAAAGTAGCCATAATTATTATATCCAATAAAACAAGACAATACTAAAGGAAATTATAAAATTTTCCGCCATGTGTCTGGTAAATATTAAATAAAGAATTACTGACCTTTTAGATTAATTAAACTTCTTCCGAAGGTGGGATCCAACTCACTGGCGAAATCCCTTCGATCAACGAAGTGATCAAAGTCTTTGATGGTGATGTTTTTTATCACGTCTACATCATTCACAATGTATACAGGATTCAACGTTTCATACATTCCCACGACTCTACAAAATTACAACGATATATTTCATGGTATGGTTACAAACAAAAAAAAAAGCCAAATTAACTTATAAAATAAATAAATAGATAATAGAATGTTTGGTCAATCTGTTTGTCAGAGTAGAGATCCATTTGCAGTTAATTTAAAAATGATAAATATATTTAATACCTAATACACTTTATACTTACTTGTCATCAGGAAACGTAGCACTTAACTTCGACAAGAAATCGGTAAAGTTCTCTAATTTAATTAATGCCCAGAAAAAGTTCCCGAAGAACGGAATGCAAGGAAGGTGGTTGACTCCTTCGTTGGCAAGCTTTGAGTAGACCTTGCGGAGGTACAATCCCAGCGCCACGAGAACCACGACAATCCATATCATGACTATCATTCTGTCTCTAGAAAGACATGAAATATTACATTACAACTAAAATAAACATGAAAAGCAGTTTTATTCATTGCTTAACAGAGATTCTTGACCACAATTGCGTTAAGTTTACGCAGTTATGTTTGATTCGATTCGAATATGTCTCAAGCATAGTTAATAATTAAATGAAACAACAAATAGTATCTATTTTTATAAATGAAAAGTGACGCACGAAAAAATATATTTTTATAAAATAAATGTATATATAGTTTAAATATAAAAACGAATTGAAAGAATATAAAGTATCATAATACAGAACTGCAAAGAGAAGGCAAACTTGAAACAAACCCTATACCAACCCGTCTGGCCAGCGTGGTGTAGTAGGCCAAAACCTCCTTTCTAAGGAAATACCTATGTCCAGCAGTGGACAGATTAAGGCTGTTGAAGAAATACAGATTGACATTGATGTTATATAATATGTATGTATACATATTGACTAAACAATAAAAAGATAACAGTTACGCAATAACAGATAAAACACAAAATTGCTTTTGTACGAGTACTATAATGACTCACTTACCTGTTTATAATTTGTTTATGCAAACTGCTTATAAAAAATCAAAATAAAAATAAAAACAAAATCGAAAAATCACGTTCGTTCTCGTGCTCAACTCACAAGTGAATGACGTGAGACAGCCATAAATGGCTTATGATTATTATTGATTATAATACTCAGATAATATATGCGCAATCAATCCGAATTTGTACGATCACGTACTGCGTATTACATTCATACTTATATATACATCTGAACTGCTATTCACAATTGTGACCATTGACTAAACCCAGTGCAACCTTGTCGAATTGTCAGCCGATTCTGGGCGAAACAAAAGTTTTAAAGTTCATGCAACGCATTACTTTCTGATGAAGTCTGTAAAAAGATTATTGATGATTTATTCTTATTAGATAAGAGTAGTTAGGGTGACCTTCATACTATAGTCTCAGAATACGGAGTTTCGTATTCTAAGACCGTAATATTAAGGATTCGAGACATCGGATATATATATATATATATATGTAAAGAGTACAGATATTTACCTCTTTAAACTCCATTAGCCATTGATTTGGGTTTTACATAATGTTATTTATCAGTTTAAGAATGTTAAAACTCTCTTTGCCTTAACTCAAACTTCATCATTCTGTAATCCAACAGCAGATCCATTTGAAAAAATCGAACTAAACGCTGTTCCTGTTTAGTTCGAATCGCTAAACTCTGGAATAACCTGTCGACCCCTTCTGTCATCTCTTAATTATTATCCTGGGACGTTTAAGAGTAAGCTGAGTCAATTTCTATTTTAAAGATCTCAGCTTTACTTTCTATTATGTACGTTCCAACCTCAAAACCTATTCCATCCTACAGTTTAAGAATTATTTATTATATTTCAATATAAAATGAAGGTTATTGACTTTTCATACCTTCAGTCAAACACAATAATTAATCATGCTCATGTAAATAAAACTAAGTGGTTTGTTTACGTATACAGATGAGTAAGTCTAGTCCGGTGAGTAGTTGTTCTGATGCAAAACAAAAGCAAGAATGATTAAATTAATTAAAATATTATGAATATATAGTAAAGCAACCAACCCGTCTGGTCAGCGTGGTATAGTAGACCAAAACCTCCTTTCTAAGGAGAGGCCTATATCCAGTAGTGGATATGAAATCTCCTATGAAAGGCTGTTGATGATGATGATAAAGAAAACGTGCAGGGCAAACGGGTAGAGTCATGTGAGCAAATAGTAAAACGACTACGAGGGCCTACTACTCAATTGTGGATTACATGGAAAACAAGAATGCTTGGGATTAATTAGCGCAGGCTATTTCTTTCTTAAGTAAAAATGTAATGTGGCTAGTGTGTTTTTTATTATTATTATTTTTCTATTTTTATGTTTCTCTTCATTTTCTCTTTTATTCGTTTTTTTAAGAAAAAAAACGAATAAAAGAGAAAACCAGGTTAAGATCTGGTTTTCTCTTCATTGTCTTTTTACCTTTTGAGCCCTTAATAACGGACATACTGGCACACATCAAAACAATGTTGTGGTATATTTAATAGTGTCATTGTATCTACTTGTGAATTGCAAAAGAGTGGCCATGAGTTTGTTTGCCCTTTCTTCTCATAAAGCTCAACCCCTTGGAAACGTGCAGTTGTACGAGTAGATCGGCACAGGCGTATCATCATTTTGTACGGGTTTGATTTTGTTAAATTTATTTGCTTACTATTTGACAAAACAGAGATTGTTGCTTTTGTGCCTGTTGATCTATGACTTTAGAGTCTACATAAAAGACGATTTCAAAAAGAGAGTTTGAGTTTGTCTACCACCTCCCATGCACGCCTTCAACTGCACCAGAGTTGAAGCTCTTTAAGTGCCCACCCAGGATCAGAGGAGAAGCTGGATTTGGCATAAGGTAACCGCACTCCTCGTAACGCGAGAATTGCTTGACATTGGTTTTCTGTGAGGCCGTGGTATCTTTTCAGTCAAGCTGGACCGTTAATGCCGAGGCATGACTCTTCCACAGTGTGGCAGCTTGTGAGGGGAACTACTCGTAATTTCTGGAAACCAATTTAACCAACTTCCTATTGTGATATCGAAATATAACTATGTTTAAATATGTAGTTTGTATATATCATGGAGAGTGCTCTGAGGAATTGTTCAGACTTATACTGGCCGCAACTTTCCGCCATCATTTTTGGCACTCTACCACTGTGCACTTTTCATGACACTTTTTGCCTCGCACGACATTCATGGGCGGCGATAGTCGCTTTTTATCAGTTGACCCTTCTGCTCGTTTGTCCCCTCTTCCGTAAAAAAAAAAACAATACTTTAATTTGGCATCGTGGAGCTAATCTGATTTTGGAGCCAGAAGGTGTATAAAAGTAGAACTCTTCATCATAAAAGATAAACCCCCTTTAACCCGTGTTGACGAGACCAGACAAATGTCAATGAAAATAGATTTTAAAGCATTTGCTTTTTTACATGTTATGTTTTTAAACTATAATTTATTTAAAACCTGTTGTCCACCTTGAGACATAGCACCTTTTAATTATAATAACTTCATAATATACAAACAGTATGGACGTGATTACGAAACATGATTACAAAAAACTATCATCTGCAATAACAATGACGCAGCTAAATAACATAAGCTTAATACCACTACATTTATTTTTAAATCGAAAACGACGTTGTGATATAATTTAAGTACACAGGTGCGCAGGTAAGTTCTCGAGCTCATAACACTAAAGTGCTATCGAAGCTAAGCGAACCCCAAAAGCACTACCTTCCACCACCAAGATATTTTTAGACCCTGACTAAAGATGTGATCTAGTCAGGGTAACATAATATAACATACATAAATTAAAGCTTGACGCTGTAAGTACTTTTTTATCAAATAAATAATGTATCAAATTTAATGCATTAATTTAACCATTTACCGACCGACTGACTGACAGACTTTCCATTATTTCTTTCCTTTTTTAAGTTAACGTAAATAGTCATCATCATCATCATCAACAGCCTTTAACAGTCCACTGCTGGACATAAGCCTCTCCTTAGAAAGGAGGTTTTGGCCTACTATACCACGCTGGCCAGACGGGTTGGTATAGGGTATGTTTCAAGTTTAAATAGTCATCATCATCAATCATCAACAGCCTATACTAGTCCACTGCTGGACATAGGCCTCTCCTTGGAAAGGAGGTTTTGGCCTACTATACCACGCTGGCCAGACGGGTTGGTATAGGGTTTGTTTCAAGTTTTCCTTCTCTTTGCAGTGCTGTTGTCCTGCTTAGTTTGCTCCCTTAGTCGGCTCTTACGACACCCACGGGATGAATTGGGGTGGTGACAATTTGTATTCTTAATCCGTCACCACGCGGACAAATTAAATAGTCAAATTCACCAAATTCATACTTTAGTGTACAGTGTTTGTGAGAGTGCATTAGCCAGTCTGTGTAGGACGAGGATCGGACTCTAGCAAGAAGCAGAACTTGGTGGTCACTAACAATGAACAAAAACGCAATTGAACAGATCAGTAATTAACTTCTAGGCCCACCTGTCTCAAAAAAATATGCGGTCTTAAAAGATACGAGTAGATTATTACAATTTCAGAAACTATTGGTGGAAATGGTAGCTAATTTCAGGCACTCAGAAGCCATCCCAGTTGTTACGGCCAATGAGAGACCTAGCTCAGAACAAAATTGCACACTACACCCTCAAAATGATGTGAAAGGAAAGACACCTACCGTCATCAATGCGAGCAGTGTTGACCGTCACAGAGGTTAAGGAGTACGAAAATTTGGCCAAGGTCGCTGATAAAATTATGGAAGCTACTCGTCCGTCCGTCGTCAGAAACTGTTGAGCATAGGCGCTCCCTAGGGATATTAAACTTTTACACATCTGACATACCTAATGCTATTTATTTTTAAATTCCTATTTGCATAACACCAAAAAGAAAGATAAGAGGATTATTTTATGGTCCGAGGAAGCGAATAAAGCGTTCGAGCAATGCAAACATAGCCTACAGGAAGCTGTTACATTGTCTCACCCGTACCGGCGTAGGCGCAATTTTACAACAGAAGGTAAATAATACTTGGCAACCGTTAGGATACTTCTCCAAAAAAATAACAGAGACTCAACAGCGATACAGTTATCGCTGCTGAGTCTTGCAAGCAATTCCCTGTCAAATGTACTGACATTTGACAGTGAATTGCTTGCTATATTATTGGCAATGCGTCATTTAAGGAACATGTACGAAGGTCACACAGATCACACACCTTTAGTGTACGCTTTTACAAAAAGTAACAGTAATATAGATAGCCCTAGGAGAGCTAGGCAGTTATCATTCATAAGCGAATTCACGACCAACATACGTCACATATCCGGCGAGGATAATATCGTAAGTGACACGCTCTTCCGCGTAGAAACAATAACTTGTCCCACGCCGATAGATTTCACAGAAGTAACATTACGTCAGCTTGACGACGGATATATTACATAAATATTACAGACATCGGATAACAGATGATTGCACATTAATGTATAAATAAGAATCCTAGAATTTGAATTATGAATCAAAAAAGACTGCAAGTAATTTAATCAAATAAAAAAAAACATTTTATTAGTTTACGAGTAGGAGTTCCGTGATGTAAACAACTACAGCAAAAGTATATAAATATAGATATGCTCTAGGCAAATATTTGCTAAATTGATAACATTTATTAGATAGTATGTAAAGTAAATAGCTAGCTAGCGCCAGATAGACTTTACCACCGCTTGCCCATAAAATATTTAGCATTAAACACATAAGGTTACAGTATTAAACACGGAGAAAAAGGTGATGATATAGTTACCTGAACTAATTTTAATGTGACCCATGAGCTTATGAATCATTTGACTCAAAGGCTAGACCCTAGATTTTATTCTTTACTATGATTTCCATTCAAAAAGCGAAACATTGCTATCATTTATAACACATTGCCTTCTGATTCCTGTAATCTTTCTCAATTTGCTCACCTGGAGTAGATATACATGGAATAAAAAGCAACAAGCAACAAGTACTTCTGAATGCTCACAACGGTATAATATATTTAAAATTTTACAATTAATACAAAACTGCATACGACGTAAGGTTAGAGATGGTAAGAAACTCAAGATTTAGTGTCCGAAAAAATAAAGACAAATCTAAGTCATACCGACCGGAGAACGGCCTCACAGCAAGTTGGTGTTAAGGAGGTTTTTCATTATTTTTCACCGAGTGAGTGAGATAACCGGCCCCAAACCCATTTCTCTCTAATTCTGGGGAAGAGGGTAATCAAAGAGCGGTAACTTGTGACTGTTGAGTGGCGGATATGTCGATAACTGATATCGCCACGAATGTCAAGGTTATTTTTTATACAGTTATACTATTAGTCATTTTTTTATGCAAAACTGATTGAAACAAGCAATACTTAAAAAATAACGGCAGTAATGACTTGACTTGAGGTGAAAGAACAGTGTTTCTTCCACATGACTGCACAGTCGATACTTTCATCACCATCATTAACAGCCTTTACTAGTCCACTACTGGACATAGGCCTCTCCTTAGGAGGGAGGTTTTGGCCTACTATAGCACGCTGGCCAGGCGGGTTGATATAGGGTTTGTGTCAAGTTTTCCTTCTCTTTGCAGTACTGTTGTCCTGTGTAGTTTGCTCCCTTAGTCGGCTCTTACGACACCCACGGGATGAATAGGGGTGGTGACACTGTATTCTTAAT